CACACACACACACACACACACACACACACACATGTAAAACACACACACGGACTCATTAACTCACTAACCATCTCTCTGCAGCACCAACAGACCACCATTCAGCATCAGTTTCAGTGCAGGCAGCAAACCTTCAGCAGGCCATTAGAGCCTTCCGTCCCTGAAGGCATTGCTCTCTTACCTGTTCCCTAATCATAAACGGTAATAAAAATAGCAAGAAAAAGGAAAAACTTTTTTTACTGTACAACTTAAATTGCACTCAGGTGAGTGCAGTAAAGACTTCAATTAAGCCACACTCTGGAGTCTCGACTCATAAAGCACAAGAATAAAACGTCAGGATTTTTATAGCAGCGTCTCCCACATTGTTCTGTCCAGCTCAGTCACTAACGCTGATGTGGAAAATAGTCAGAGAAACAGTTTTTGGCTCATTTGTCATGCAAAGCATCTGACACAGAGCCTGTTTTTATATTTATAAATTACATTCTAATTAGAAATCAAAAGCTTATCATTCCTTGACAGAATGCATATCACCCACTGTCTTTAATGGCAGAGTTTTACACTAAGATTGTCTTATGATGAGGAACATTGGACTTACTCGAACCCTGAAAATAGCAGAAGGTGTGATCTCATGCAATATGGACAGATGTCACGCTCACAAAATGTTTTGGAGTGACTCGCAGCTACTACCAGGTTACATTTTAGCTCAATATCTTAAAAATCAACTAAATTATAACAATTTTTGTCTTCTCCACAGCCAGTGGAGAAGACAAAAATTGTGTTAACCTTGAACTAGTTTGGCTCCAAAAGTCATAAAGCTGTAGAAGTTGATCTAATGTATACCGTCTGATCGTTTACCTTGAATACATCCAGTTCATGAGATATTTTGCTGACACTGCTAGAGCTTACTCCAAATAGTTAAAATTTAAGCAAAGATCTGGCACCATTTGTTTGTGCTCACATTATGTGTTAGCAACGATCACATGAAATTTGAGATTAAAAATTGATCAAATCGACACAGTTATTGCTATTTTTATGTTTTTTAATGTAGTTAGAGTAGCAGCCATCTTTAATTAGATTGTAAAAGTTAATTTGCTGTAAATGATTAGTTTCTGCACGTTTCATTGAAATGCGCCCAGTGTTGTGTGAGACATTTTGCTAACACACATAAATGGACAAAAATATTCTTGTCCACCTTTTGGCCGTGGGTGATAATGATCAGTGGTTACACTGCTGCTGTGCCCACACACTTCTCTCAGAACGAGCCAAGTTGTGAAGTTGCTCTGATTAGATTTTCTAAAACTGATCAAATAAAAACAGCAGACTGACTGACACATGCAGGTGAAAGAGACTTACCTCAGAAAAAGTGATTACACCCTCTCTCCCACCCCCCTGGTGGGAAAATGGGTCTTATAAGTCCAGACAAATGTTCTGAGTGTGTCTCAGAGCTCTGGCAGCTCTGTCATCCTTCCTCCTCTTCCTCTGTGGCTTCCAGAACGCTTCACTCGCCTCTACCTACAGAGCGGCTGATGTGCAGCCAGTGAGGAGACAGATGGAGAGAAAGAGAGAGAGTGAAGAAGAGAACTCCTTTTCTGCAGTCAGACTCCACTCCCACCTACTGCTCTCTTAAATGCCCCCACTGCCGCCCCCACCCCACCCATTCAGCCCACTCCACGGCATTGTGACTGAAAGCGAAGAAGCTGAAACGGGACGCCTCAAGGCTGGAAGAAGAGGGAGAAAAAATAGGAGATGAAAATGGGGGGAAGGGGATGGGAAGAAGAAAAATAGAGAGGGAGGGGTGGTAGTTGGACCATTAGTAACAAATTGCGGCGGGTAAACCAATGGAAGGAGAGATATAAGTGAATGCAGGGCCTGCATTTACATAGCATTTAAGGAGCTAAAGCAGGGAGCCATTGAAGCGTCCGTCTGTGAAACTGATGAGGATACAGGAGCCAGCAGACAATGAGAGACTGTTTTAGTTCTTGTAGAAAAACTGAACAGCAAATTGAAGGAAGGGAGGAGTGTATGTCACCCACCGCCTTTCACACCAGAGTTTTAGAGTAAGATCATCTCATTTCGAGAAATGATTATGAGAGGTCACAGTCTTAAGACTTTTATTTTAGCCCAGTATCTGTAAAAAATGACAGAAACGTATGTTGCGGCTGTGGCTGAGTGATTAGAGCATTTGTCCTCCAATGCAAGAATTGGGGGTTCAAATCCACCAGCAATCACATGCCGAAGTGTCCCTGGGCAAGACACTGAACCCCTCATTGCCTCTGATGTGTGTCCCATCAGTGTATGAATGTGGTAAAGCACTGATTAGTCTCTTTAGAATGAGTTGTTCAATTAGCTTTGTAGAGATCTAGTACAGTTCTGTATGAATGGGTAAATGAGGACATAGATTGTTGTGTAAAGCACTTTGAGTGTCTTGATCAGATAGAGAGGCGCTATATAAATACAGTCCATTTACCATTTTTTCTGTTTGCTAATGTTGACTGGCCGTGGAGGCACTCTTGAATTAAACTGGCTCCAGCTGATGACTACCGCCGTAAATTTCATTAAAATTCATCCAGTGGCTCATGAGATGTTTTGCTGGCAGACAAAGTTGACTCCCACAGTTTACACAACCATGTTGCACGATGGTTCACATTTTGAGTATGTGTTTTAAATTAATCGCAACTAGAATACCAAAATCTAGAAGTCAAAAATCTTTATAATTACTAGAGTTGTAGACATTTGTGTGTTTCCCAGGATGAGTTGGCTGCAGTGATCATATGACTGAGGTTGGAATGATTCATAAAAATCTGCCCAGTGAATGAAGTGTTATTTTGCTAACAGACGGGTGGCACGATGGAGCAGTTGGTAGCTGCTGCCTCACGAGCAGGTTGCCCCGGTTCAAATCCCGAACTGGAACCTTTCTGGGTGGAGTTTGCATGTTCTCTCCGTACTGCATGAGTTTTCTCCGGGTACTCCGGTTTCCTCCCACAGATCAAAAACATGCATGTTAGACTGATTGGTAACTCTAAATTGTCCCTAGGTGAGAGTGAGACAGTGAATGGTTGTTTGTCTTGTTTGTCTCTATGTGTCCCTGTGATGGACTGGAGACCTGTCTTTGGTGTCTCCTGCCTCTCGCACAGTGATTGCTGGATATGGGCACCAGTGACCCCACAACCCAATAAGGAAGAAGTGGGTAAAGATAATGGAAGGATGGATGGATGGATGGATGCGCATCATGTTGACACCAAATAGTTATTAGTTAATTTTTTAACAAAGAGATTGTACAACTTGTTGGTGCTTAGAATGTGTCAGTCTCAGCTAACATCACAAGTTTTAGGTCAATATCAGTAAAACTGAGTTATAGTCATTTTTGTGGCTTAAAGTCAACTAGCTTCTTTTCTCTTAAATAATACGTTTCAAGTTTCCATTTTATGCAGAAAAGATATAATCTAAGGAAAGAGAATTTCTTCATATACCTCCAGGTATGCCACAACTTTAATGTAAATTTCAAAATAACAGAGTTCACAGCAGCTGATACAGAGTTCTATAGGATTTTAAAGTCAGCATATAAAGACACTTAAATTGATTTGTAGGCTGTATACTGCTTTGTTTACAGCTGATAAAGACAATACCCTGTATGTAAAACAAAAATGGGAAAAAGAGGCAGGAGCTGTTATTTCAGAAGAAGGATGGGGAGATACTTGGAGATCTCAGTGGTCCTCTAAGAGCTACTTGTTTTGGAGAGAACACTGCTGGAAAAATATAATAAGATACTTGAGGACATCAGCACATTAATGTGTTATAAAATATAGGAAGAAGGCATGGATATGCTGGAGACAGTGTGGCTCAGAAGAAGCCAATCATTACCATATGTTCTGGGGGTGTCCTAAACTGAGTACTTACTGGAGAGACATTCATAAAACCTTAAACTTGTTTCTTGGAATTGAAATACGATTCAATTTTGTGACTTTTTGCTGATGTTGCTATCCTGGAACAGAAAACTGACAGGAATCTACTGCAGGCCCTCTTAGTGGCGAGCAAGAAAAAAATTACCAGAAAATGGCTCAGCCCAACCCCTGCTATAGTGGAAGGGTGGTTACCTTAGAAATCTTCAAGATGGGAAAGTTAAAATATACCTGGAATATCCAAAGAGATCAATGTTATAGAATTTGGAACAAGTGGATAAAGCATACAATTCCAACTAGAGCCAGATTTTTCTAACTTCTCTGACATGACTTCTCCCCCCAACTGGTGAATACTATTTTTTTTTTCACTTCCCCCTTTTTATTATTTTTGTTTACTTTTTTCTCCTTGAGAGAGATGGAGGAGGACTCGCTTTGGCGACCCTTGAAGAGGGAAAAGCTGAAAGAAGAAGAAGTTGTTCACTCTTTCTTCCTTGTAAGCTCCCCTGGTTCTGATCTATATAGTTCATATCTTTACTACAGTATTTTCCGCTGTACATGTTGCACCGCCCTATAAGTCACATCAATCCAAATATGTCTGATAAAGTGCAAAAAACCTAAATATGTTGCTTTGCCGTATAAGTCACATCTACTATGCATCACCGCTGACAACATGAAAATGTGGGCCAATGTTGTGCCAAAAATCAATTGGCTGCCTAGCAGCGAGCAGAACGAAGGTGGCAAGCTGATTGTGTCATTAATAGCCATTACCTATTACGCGACACAAAGGCATGCCATACTACTTGAGTTCCTTCTAGTGGCTGAAAATGGTAGTGTGCAATATTTTCAGTCAGAATGAATGAAAACGGTCATACCTCAGCCAAGAATTGGTTTATAAATATGGGAAAAATCCATAAATAAGTCACTTCTATGTATAAGTCACAGGGCATGCAAATTATGCAAAAAATTTGGACTTATAGGCCAAAAAATACTGTAATTTAGGTTATTGAGATGCTATGATATTCTTGGGAATACTTGTAAACTAAGTGAAAACAGACTAATGTTCTATCAGTTTGCGCGGGGGTTCTACAGTAAATAAGTGTATTTATAAAATCTGAAAATGACCGCAACTGATTAAGATTGGAAAATGCTTGTAATATGGAATATTTAATTTCTTGTAAATCTGAAAAGTTCCACCAAAAAAAAAAAAAAGTAAATAAAATTAAAGTCAACTAGCTGTGGCAGCCATCTTGTATCAAGTTGGCTCCAGAAGTTAATCAGGTAGAATGATAATTTCCTGTAAGTTTCATTAAAGTCCTTGTACTATATTTTGTTTACAGACAGACAAATACACTCAAAGGATGTTTCAACAACTTGTCTTCTATCTTTACTTGTTAGCACTAGGTGATAAGATCCTCAGACAATCATTAAAAGCTTTGACAAAATATTTTGTAGTAAAAGTTGAAGCTAATGCCTTGAGTGAAAAATGAAAAGCTTGTCTATGATTACAGGTTCAGTTCATGTGGGGTTGGAACATTTTTAATTTGCTGTATTTGGAGGTCTTTATGCTCAAAGGACAAAGCTCTTATTGTCTCCAGAAACCCAGCGCTGTTCGTCTCTGCTGAGTCATGACAAGATGTTGTCCTGAGATATCAGTTTAACCATGTGGAGACTGGAGGAAAATCTGGACCACAAGCAGGAGACAGCATAAAAAAAGTTTTTTGTTTATACAACTTTAAAAAATGACCAACAAAGCAGCTGATTAGTTTATAATTGAATTTTGATAGTTCAAATCACACCTTTATTGCCCACCACCAAGGTTTTTGTTGTGTGCTTGTGTTTCTGTCCGTTAGTAAAATATCTCATGAATGGATTTTAATGAACGTCAACGAGCATAATCACTGGATTATATCTACAACAGGGTAACTTTTATTTTGGTTCAAGAGAGCTGAAACAGCAAATCAATATGGTAAACAAAAACAGCTAAAGTTTAGTCATCAACAGATATTATCAGAAACATGGTGGGTGCTGAGACTGATCCCCAACAGATCAATGTTTCAAACTTAACCATTGAAGTCAACTCTTTGTCTCCCCCAGAAAATTTGTAATAACAGAGATGCCATTTCCTGCATTTTGGTGTACTTTAACAGGTTGTTAAACATCTGTAAACATTTGATTAAATTGATTAAAAACAGGTCTCTCTTGTAAATGAGTCCACGATGTCGTAGTTTGAGGTTAGCAGCGAACCAAGAGTGCAGAACAGGGACTCAACTCGGCAGATATACAAAAAATATGATTTAATGATAAATAAAGTACAAAATAAACAGGCTGACGGGGCAGCAAAACTTACATGAACAAGGCACGAGGAACTCAGGCGACAAGAGAGACACGGGGAACTCGAGGGACCAGGAAGACTCAGGACAGACAGGACAAGACTCAGGAGACCAAGGGAGAGTACCAACGAAGACGACCCGACCAGAACAAGACAGAATAGGACTGCTTAAATACTGTGAGGAGACGAGACATGATGACAACAGCTGAGACGAGACGCAGGTGGCAACAATGGAAACTAACGAGGAAGCACGAGGGAAACAGACACAAACCGGGCCACAGAAAAGTACCGTCCTTACACACGAGGCTCAATGAGACTGACAACCTGTATAAAGTTTGACTTGAAATTACTATTTTAGAGAGC